GGGATTTGTTGACGCCATGAAATTTGGAAACAACAGATTTTTCCCTTAAAATGATACATTCTCTCAGTTTAAACTTTTGATCTGTGATTTGTGTTCTATTCTGAATGAACTATTAGATGTTGGCACCTCCATATCATTGCATTCAGTTTTTATTCACTATTTGTTTAGTGTCCCAACTTTTTTGGAATCCGGTTTGTATTTAGCCTTAGTTTACCCAGTAGTTTCAGGTTGGATTCAGTGTCGCCTGCTCTGGCCCTTGAATGCATATTTGACAGTGGTATGAATTACAAGTGCCATGTTTTTGGACTATGGAGCTACCAGTAACAAAAGTGTGGTCCTCCCTCAGCCAGAGAGGCGTCTCACTAAGCACGGAATATCAGTTTGCAACTGGAACGGGTTGGTGGCTAATCGGGGGTTTAATTTTAGAATTATGCTTCTTTTTTACTGTCACGCAGCCAGCCTGCGGTTCTGGACTGATGAGGGGTAGGAAACTGATTTAAAATGTGATTTGAAACAGGAACGGGTTGATGGTCAACTGGGGGCTTAGTTTTAGCATTAAGCTTACTTTGGACCGAGACCCAGTAGGCCTGTGGTTGCAGACTGCTAACATGAGCTAGCATCAGTGGCTCCATGCTGCCTATGGGGGCCTGGCTAGTTAATGGTTTTTCAACAGCACAGATCCGAGCTTCCAGCTTAGACAGCCTCTCCTCCAACACCAATACAACAGTACATTTTGTTACATGTACCATAATCGTTGGATTGTGGACCAGAATCGCCTCGAAGCTGTGTGGAAGTCATTCTCCATGGCCTCTCTGAACTCCTCCCATGCCCGAGTTTTTGCCTCAGTGACCACATGAGTCGCATGTTGCTTGGACTGCCAGTACCCATCAGCTGCTTCCAGGGTCCCACAGGCTAAAACGGCCCGATAGGACTCCTTCTTCAGCCTGACAGCATCCCTCATCGCCGGTGTCCACCACCAAGTTCGAGGTTTGCCACCGCGACAGGCACGACAACCTTGTGGCCGTAGTTCCAGTAAGCCGCTTCGACAATAGAGGCACAGAACGTGTCCCACTCTGACTCAATGTTCCCTACCTCCCCCGGAACATGTTCGAAGTTCTCCCAGAGGTGGGAGTTAAAGCTCCATCTCACAGGAGACTCTGCCAGACATTCCCCGCAAACCCTCACAATACTTTTGGGCCTGTCAGGTCTGACTGGCATCCTCCCCCACCATCGGAGCCAACTCACCACCAGGTAGTGATCAGTGGACAGCTCCGCCCCTCTTCACCCGAGTGTCCAAGACATGTGGCCACAGATCAGATGAGACGACTACTAAGTCGATCATCGAACTGCGGCCTAGGGTGTCATGGTGCCAAGTACACATATGGCCACCCTTATGCTTGAACATGGTGTTTGTTATGGACAATCCATGATGAGCACAGAAGTCCAACAACAGAACACCACTCGGATTCAGATCAGGGGGGCTGTTCCTCCCAACCACACCCCTCCAGGTCTCACTGTCATTGCCCACGTGAGCATTGAAGTCCCCAGCAGAACAAGGGAGTCCCCAGAAGGTGCACTTTCCAGTACCCCCTCCAAGGACTCCAGAAAGGGTGGATAATCTGAACTGCCGTTTGGTGCATAAACACAAATGACAGTCAGAACCCGTCACCCCACACGTAGGCGGAGGGAGGCTACCCTCTCATTCACCGGGGTGAACCCCAACACACAGGCACCAAGATGGGGGCCAATAAGTATGCCCACTCTTGCTCGGCGCCTCTCACCAGGGGCAACTCCAGAGTGGAAGAGTGTCCAACCCCTCTCAAGGAAACTGGTTCCAGAGCCAGAGCCATGCATAGAGGTGAGTCTGACTATTTCTAGTCGGAACCTCTCAACCTTACACTCCAGCTCAGGCTCCTTCCCCACCAGTGAGGTGACATTCCATGTCCCAATAGCCAGCTTCTGTAGCCGAGGATCAGACCGCTAGGGTCCCCGCCCTCGGCCACCACCCATCCTACATTTCACCCAACCCCTTTGGCCCCTCCCACAGGTGGTGAGCACATGGGAAGGAGAACCCACGTCTCCTCTTCGGGCTGTGCCCAGCCGAGCTCCATGGGTAAAAGTCCGGCCACCAGGCGCTCACCCGCGTGCCCCACCTCCAGGCCTGGCTCCAGAGTGGGGCCCCGATGACCCACGTCTGGGCGAGGGAACATCGAGTCCATTTATTTTGCTCAACACAGTATCACAGTATTATACAATATAACTTTATTTATTTATATATAATAACTAAATATTTGACACACAGTGCAAGTGATAAAACCAGAAGTCATGCTAAGCTAACAATGGTAAGAGATACCAAATCTCAAATACACTCATAAAATTAAAAAAAAAATCTTGAAAGATGGTGGAATTTGTTTTAGTTTGTATGATCAAGTTTTGTGAATCTGAAAGCAGGCAGTCACTCTGGAATGGTACGATCTCAGCTTTGGGTGCGTAGAATCAGCCAGCTAGTTAGCCCAAGAACCTCGAGACTGGCTCCTTCTGATCTCAGGTTTATGCAAGTTGAGTCACGTAACTATTAAAAATAAAGCACAAAGATCAACTAGGAAACACCATGACAAAATTTAAGGATCAGAAAAACAGTTTAAAACAAGATCGACTCGCCTGAGTGGTGATCTTTATTTCAGCTTTGTGTGAGTTGAATTTGTCGATTAGCTTAGCATACCATTGTAAGTAAGTAAGTAAGTAAGTAAACTTTATTTATATAGCACTTATCATAGATACAATCACAAAGTGCTGTACAACAATAAAGAAATAAAAGCTTAAAATAAAATAAAAATAATAACAACTCATTAATAAAAACAGTAAAAACAGCTGGAAAAAACAGTAAAACATTTAACTAAAAGCTTGACGAAATAAAAGTGTCTTAAGCTGCGTTTTAAAAGAATCAACAGAAACGTTCACACGGAGAGACAGGGGCAGGGCATTCCACAGGCGGGGGGCTACGGCCTGAAAGGACAGGTCACCCCGAGTTTTAAACCGGGTCTTAGGAACCTTAAGAAGGTTCAGCGCTGAAGAGCAAAGGGTGCGGGCTGGAGAATAAGGAAACAACATTTCAGTAATGTATTGGGGGGGCCTGTCCATTTAAAGCTCTAAAAGTCAAAACTAAGATTTTAAAATTAATTCTAAATTCAACAGGCAGCCAATGAAGAGAAGATAAAACTGGTGTAATGTGAGCCCTTCTGTTAGTTCCTGTTAAAAGCCTCGCAGCAGAGTTCTGAACCAATTGGAGACGAGCAACGGCAGTTTTGTTAAAACAAGTAAAAAGGGAATTACAATAATCTAAACGAGAAGAAATAAAAGCATGAATAATCATCTCCAGGTCAGATCTGGATAACATTGCCCTCAGTTTAGAAATGTTTCTCAGATGATAAAAGCAGTTTTTTACCAGAAGCTTTGAATGTTTGTCCAAAGACATAGACTGGTCGAACAAAACACCGAGATTTCTGAGGATCGGCTGAGAAGAGGAGCCCAGAGAACCGAGGTGTTGTTTAATCCAAGGAACTTTCTGTTCAGGGGCAATGATCAGGGTTTCCGTCTTGTTAGAATTTAACTGAAGGCAGTTGTTAGCTAACCACGCCTTAATATGTGAAACACAGTTTACTAATTCAGCTAACTTATGTAATTCTGAGTCATAAAAGGAACAGTACAGTTGAATATCATCAGCATAGAGATGGTAAGACACATTTCTGAAACTACTGATAATCTTTCCCAGGGGGGTGATGTACAAAAGGAACAGAATAGGACCCAACACTGAACCCTGAGGAACACCATTCAGTAACGGAGTGGTCTTAGACTGTATGTTATTAACAAACATTGAAAAGGTTCTGTTGCTCAGATAAGAAGAAAACCACTTAAGAACAGTTCCAGAAAATCCCATCTCATGTTGCAGTCGATGTATCATAATTTTGTGGTCGACTGTGTCAAAAGCTGATGACAGATCCAATAAAATCAAAACACTGCTCTGACCAGAGTCTGCAGCCATCAATATGTCATTGGAGACTTTTAATAAGGCAGTTTCAGTGGAGTGCATCTTACGGAAACCAGATTGAAACTTATCAAGAATATTATTATTTTGCAAGAAAGTAGTCATCTGCCCAGCCACTAACTTCTCAAGAATTTTGGCGAGAAAAGGTATTTTTGATATTGGCCTGTAGTTGCAGAGCTCAGTGGGGTCCAAGTTGGGCTTTTTCAAGATCGGATTTAAAATCGTTTGTTTCAAAAAACTTGGAACTGACCCGGTTGAAAGAGAGATGTTAATTAATTCTGCCACATGGGGGTTGACAATATCAGACACCTTTAAAAACAGTGATGTGGGTACAACATCATTTTCTACACATTGCTCAGCAGCGGTTCATGTAACTAAAAATCCCTAAAATAAAGCATAAAACCAACATACGACCAGCATACGAACACTACCAACAAATTTAGGGAACAGAAAAATACAGTTTATAGCAAGAGCGAATCGTGCAAAGTGGTTAAATTCTTTCTGATCAGAGCAGTGTATTTTCAAAGTGTCCTCTCCCAACCAAGCTGGAAAATTATTTCAGATGATGAAAAAAGCATCTAAACCCAATTGATCATAAATTTCCTTCACACTTTTAAAGTACTACCACGCAGGAACAGATGCAGTGATGAACAACAGTGGTAGATACTGCTGACTCTTTTCACCGTAATGTTCCCTGCAACTTCAAACATTATTCAAGAATTGTTTAAAACCATAACAACCAGGTTGGTGTACTGGCTCGTGTTTATTAGCTCTTCATAACAGAAAAACCATTGCACAGCCTGTAAAGGAATGTTTTCTCTCAATAATGTTTTTTTCCATTAGATGGCCCCAAACTACTTCTAGTTGTTACGGACGTTTCCTGCTTTATTTTCTCCTGCCGTGGACGCTGTCCATCACTGCAGTCTGTATGAGTTTGAACTGTGTGCTTTTGTCTATGCTGATCACTGATCTGTTCACTGGACAGGAGGAGAACATCTGTCTGCACTGGGCGGCACTGTCGGGTTGTGATGACATCGTCCAGGCTTTGCTGGAGTCTCTGTGCGACCTGAATGCCGTCAACATTCATGGTGACACGCCTCTTCACATCGCTGCCAGGGAGAACCACCTGGAGTGTGTAATGTGAGTGTGCACACTCTGCACCTTCATTCATTCATGAGCAGAGTGCGTTGCATTTTCTACACTGTCAGAGGAAACTGTCCCTCTGCTTGTAAAACCAAAATAAATTGTTTCACATACAAATTTCAATTGTACCATTTTATAATTGGCCCATAAAGTGAAGCACAAAATGTTGTATTACTTTTTTTAACATTGTGTGATAGTGCAGAGGTCGCCAACCCTGGTCCTGGTGGCCCACTGTCCTGCAGGTTTTAAATGTTTTCCTGCACACCTGATGCAAATCATTCAATCACAGTCACTTATTTTGATCAGATTGTTCCCTCTGTCACAATCATTTTATCATGTGATAACAAAACTAATGAATAACAATGTCAGTGTGTTGTTTTTTACATTGATAAAGTCATTAGAATTGCATTCAGTCACAGGGCCCTATATGAATTAGAAAAAGATCTGGGATGCCCTTACCTGTAGACATAGTTTAGTGGGTTATATTAAACCTTTATTTAACCAGACTAAAAACCCATTGAGGTCAAGGCCTCTTTCACAAGGGTGACCGGGCCAAGAAAAGGCAGCAGCGTGCGTCATAAAAACAAGACAAGTAACAAACAAGGTACAGTAAGAGTAGGACTTCAGAAATATATAAAAACGTACAATATAACTGTAAAGGGCAATAGTTTAATAATAATTTAAAACAATGGCAATTTAAGATTTGAAACACAGGCAATGTTGACAAGATATCCATTGTCCTTTTCTTTAAAGTTTGCAAAAAGCACTTAAAGTAACAAGTTCTGACAGTTTTAATTCAGCTTGCAAGGCATTCCAAACTGAGGGGACAGAAAAGCTAATACTTTCTTACACTTTTCTGTTCGCACACGAAGAACATAAAGGTGCAAACAGTCCTTAGAGCGTAAGGAATAACTACTGTCCGTTCTTCCAATAAAAGTACATAAATAAAGCGGAAGCAGGCCAATAAGAGACTTGTACACCAAAGTCATCCAATGTACATATCACCTGTTATGCAGGGAAGACATACTGATTTTAAAATAGAGATTACAGCGATGAGTAAGATAGCTACAACCAGTAATAAATCTTATTGCACAATGGTACACTGGATTCAATGACTGTAGACAACTGTTTGAAGCACACATATAAACAACATCGCCATAGTTAAGCACTGGCAAAAAAGTAGCTTTGATCAAAAGCTTCCTTGCTCTTAGGGAGAAACATGATTTACTTCTGAAGAAGAACCGAGTTTCACTTTTAATTTGGAGATTAGGTGGTTCACGTGAGATTTAAAAGAAAGCTCCTCGTCAATAATTAAGCCCAGGGACTTATAACTGGAGACACTCTTGAGAACTTTACCTTGGGCAGTTTTTATTAGAGGGATATTCTCCAATGAGACAGGTGAATTTGAAAAAATGATTATTTTAGATTTATCAGCATATAAACCAATTTTAGTTGCTCAAGACAAATCTGCACCTCATCAAAAGCAGCCTGTAAAATTTTAAATGCCTGAGCAATTGAATTTGAACAAGAGTAAATTACACAACCAGCAGCATGAAAGTGGTAGGAGGCATTTTGCAAATTTTCACACAGCGCAGTAATGTAAATTGTAAATAAGATGAGCCCCAAGACAGAGCCTTGGGGTACACCCTTTTTTACCTTAAGAAAACTTGAGCTTACTCCAGCCATCTGTACACATTGTGTCCTATTTGCCAAATAATCTACAAACCAATAAGATGCTTCTTTGGAGATGCCCAGTTTGAGAAGAATATTTACCAGGATCCTGTGATCTACCATACCAAATACCTTGGATGAATCAATAAAGAATCAAATGCCTTTGATGAATCAATAAATAATCAAATGCCTTGGATGAATCAATAAACAGAGCAGAGCAAACCTTTTAGAATCCAGTGCCTCAAACACACCATTTAAAACTTTTAGAGCAGCAGTTGCAGTGCTGTGCTGCTTCCTAAAACCTGACTGAAAATGATTTAAAATATTATTTGTTTCTAAAAATTATTTCAGTTGATCACAGACCAACTTTTCAAACAGTTTTGCCAAAATACATAGTTTAGAGATGGATCTATAATTGTTCACGATTGACGGCTCACCTCCTTTTAATAATGGAAAAACAAATGCAGTTCTATTTCGTATAGGCTTCGCCCTTTAAGGCTATCGCTAGTGGGTTTATCCCTTCGTGCGCAGCACAGCACTGAAAACTTTAGTCCACACTCACCTGCTGTGTGGGCCTCACCCCCAGTCCGTATAAATTATGGTGAGACCGGGTAATCGGCTCCCATTTTTTCTTCCGCAAGCAACCAGCACTGCTTTTTCAAGAAGACGATGTCCAGCACCAGCACCATCTGCCTGTGCCCGTCCTGCCAGACCGGCTACATTTTGAGTTTTGACTGGCACGACATCTGCAAAGGATGCCTGGGTCCCCACCACGCCGACCTCGCCTCCTCCTGCCATCCCTGTGACCTCCTCCCTCCTGAGGAGAAGCAGAGACGAGCAGCCTTGTTCAAAGCTAACATCAAAGAGTGCCTTTCCGTGGCAAGGGATTGTTCGCTGGACGACGCCATCACCTTTTTTGATGCTGAGTCACGGAGCAAATCGGATGATTCCTCCAGATTAGGCGATGTCAGCAGCCCCGCTGCTCATTCCCTCCTAGAGAACGTAGTGTTAGAACGGGGGGGCCAAGCAGATGCTCACCCCGCCCCCCGGGCCTTTTTGCATCGGCGAACACACAGCTTCCAGCCTTCGGTGCCCTCCTCTCGGAGCTATCCGGCATAATCCAAGAGGCGGCTGACACAAAGGGACTTTCCGTCCCTCTCCTCCCCCTGCCCAGATCGGATGATCTAGCGGGAAGGTTTGGCTCCATCCCGGCTCGCCGCCCTGACCCCATCTGGCCTCGTTTCCCAGCAATGACGTCCTACTAGAATGAGGCTGCAGCCAGACCTGGTAAGCTGAAGGCGCCCGTCTCCATCTTTGCTCCCATCACCAGAGTGGAGGGGTTTACTGAGCGGAGTTTTCCCTCGGTCCCCCCCTGGAGCCAAGCCTGACAGAAGCACTTGGAGCAAAAGTGTCCGGGTTGGACCAACGTCCTGTCCCTCCAGGGAGACACGACCAAACGGGGACATCGTTCTCCAATCAAGCCCACCAGTGTGCTTTCCAGGCAGCCGCAGCGAACAACAATGTCGCCCTGCTGGCTTACAGCATTTCCAAAAGGCTGGAGGACACAGACCTGCCTGAGGAGATGAAGAGCTCGCTTTGCAAAGCGTCTGACATCATCCTTAACTTGTGCGCCTCCTCTGCGGTCTGCTTGTCTCACATCGCTGCCTGGATGACGATGATCCAGAGGTCCACCTGGCTCCGACTCTCCCCATCCATGCCGGAGAGGCTGCAGAAGGACCTGCTGGAGGGTCCCATCACGACTGACGCGCTGTTCGGGGCCAATTTCAAGGCCATGCTTGAGAAGTCAAAGTCAGAGGAGGTGTCGGAAACTGTGCTCCACCTGATGAAGCTGCAAAGGGATCGCCGTGGCCAGCGGCAGCAGCAGAGACGTTCCACAGCTGCAGCAGCGACCTCTCACCCCACTCCTCCGCCAGCCCTTCTCATCACGCCAACCAGTGACTCAGCACTTCCCCAGAGACCGTTAACAAGCGCCGCCCTGGAATAACCAGCCGCAGGGTCCACGGAGGAGGCAACACAAAAAATGACTCTTTGTGGGGATGTGTGTATTCACAATGATGACATGAGTTTTAAAATAAAACGAAAACATTCAGAGTAAAGTGTCTTCTGATTCCAGCCTAACTGTCAGATCGAATGATCTCACAGCGGCCTCTCTTCACACGTCCTCCACACAAAACAAGCCGATAACCTCAAAACAGGTTTTTAAAAGTCACCGCAGCTTGAGAAATCACACAAAATTCTTTGCCCGCCTGCGCATAGATTCGGTGCGTAAGAAGAGGTGGATGATCTCTGTGCCCCTCTCCGGGGGAACTGACTGAATCACTGGGGAAACCCCCTCACTCTGTCAGAGGGAGTTTCTATCAGCAGGCCTACGTCACACGTCTTAGTTTTCACAGACGCGTCCCTGTCAGGCTGGGGAGGAACGTGCCTGTCTCAAGTGGTGGGGGCACAGTGGCCAACTCACACATCAGCTCATATAAACGTCTTAGAATGTTTCACAGTTTGGAATATGATTCAGCATTTTGCTCCCCTGTTGCGGAATCAACATGTTCTGATCCACACAGACAACAGAGTTACTGCAGCTTACATAAACTGGCAGGGAGGCGTGCGCTCAGCCCAACTGTTACGCATTGCGAGACAGCTGCTGTTTTGGGCACACAAAAACCTGCTCTCCATCAGAGCAGAGTACATCCCCGGCGTCCTGAACAGAGAAGCGGACATAATGTCCAGGGGCGGTCCTCGCCACAGAGACTGGAGCCTCCATCCCGAGCTGATTTCTCGGATTTGGAGCAGGTTCGGCCGAGCAGCAGTGGATCTGTTCGCCACACGGGAGAATGCCCAGTGTCAATTATGGTTCTCACTGAGCCCACGGGACGACCCACCGTTAGGAGTGGACGCTTTTGCCCACAGTCCGTGGCCAAAAATGCTCCTTTACACGTTTCCTCCAGTCCCTCTAATATCACGGTTTCTGGACCGAGTCCAGGAGGAAGAACTGTCAGCCATCTTTGTAGCCCCCATGCGCGTGTGCGCCCCGTGGTTTCCAATCCTGTGACGTCTGTTATCGGGTCGTCTGTGGAAACTGCCGTGGAGGGACTATGTTCTCCTCCAGGTGGGAGGAGTGATCAGGAGTCACCCAGAAATAGGCTGGCACATTTGGGTCTGACCGCTGAGAGAAAATGGGTCTCTCTCAAGAAGGGGTGGGCACAATCCAAGACTCACGAGCTGCTTCCACCACAGCGCTGTACACATTAAAGTGGACAGCTTTTCTGCGCTGGTGCATAGAAAAAGGTGTAGAGGCCATCTTATATCCACTAGGTGGCATGCTGTCCTTTCTGCAGCAGCTGATGGACAGAAATGTAGCTTTCAGCACAATTAAGACTTATGCTGCGGCTATGTCTTCTTGCGGGCTTCGGTGACAGAACAGTTTATAATCACCCGCTGAAGAAGCGTTTCCTAAAAGGTGTACGGAGACACAGACTGGTGTCATGCCCACTAGCTCCACAGTGGGACCTAACGATAGTTCTGTGAGCTCTGATCAAAGCTCCTTTCGAGCCTTTAGATCAGGTGTCACTTAAATTCCTGTCACTTAAAACAGCCCTGCTGTTGGCTTTGATATCAGAAAAGAGAGTGAACGATTTATCTGCGCTCTCTGCAGCCCCGTCATGCCTCAGGATTCAAGCTGATGGCAGCTCAGCTGCGCTGAGACCTAACCCAGCTTTCGTACCAAAAAAACATCACAAGCTCATTTAAATTGAAAATGATAACATTGGAGGGATTTTATCCCCCTCCTCACAAATCAGAGGAGGAAGCATCATCTCATCTCCTCTGTCCCGTGCATGCACTGGCATGTTATATAGCACGCACGGCCCCTCTGCACCAGACTCAGCGTCTGTTTGTGCACTTTTGTGTTTGTACACATCTCTGCAGGTCGCCCGTTATCCACTCAGCGTCTCTCACACTGGCTGTGTGAGGCTGTTTTTGAAGCCTACAGAGCATCTGGATTGGAGCCTACAGAGAATCTCAGAGCTCATTCCACCAGAGGGATTTCATCCTCTACAGCTTTGCATGGAGGGATGACGGTGAAGGACATTTGTACGGCGCCCGCTTGGTCATCACCTTGTTCATTTATTCGCTTTTATCTGCATGATGTTTCTGCTTTCTCCATGACCCATTCTGTTCTCAGTGTTCTAACAGAATGCATTTTACTTGTTTCATGGAATTTTGTTTTAAACTCGCATCTGACTGCATGCAATTACAGTGTGAGGCATTTATTATCAGTCACAAGTTCATGACTGCTGTTTTTATTGTTACTAATTAGTTCATGACTGCTGTTACCAGTCAGTTCATTTGATTACTAATCAGTTCATTTGTTATTAATCAGTTCATATTGAAGAGCTGTTGACCTGCTCTGCTCACTGTTACACGGTTACAATTTGTAACCTCTGTTCTTTTCCAGTCTCAGCAGCAGGACTGCTTTTCAGCCTTCCCTTTTTTCCCCGTCGGAGACCTTTTCTCTCTGGGGTGCTCCTGTGCGTGGAACGCGTAATTACGCAGTGCATGGAATGCGTAATTACGCAGTGCGTGGAACGCGTAATTACGCAGTGCGTGGAACGCGTAATTTTGCAGAAGGCTGAGTTGATGGAATGTTTTTGGTGCAAGCGGGTGCTTCATATTGTGTCTGAATGGACCCAGTGAGGCATAGACTACATCCTGCTTCGCCTTTAACTCACTAGCGATAGCCATAAAGGGCGAAGCCTATACGAAATAGAACATTGGTTATGTATTGTAACCCCAGATTCTATGAGTATAGGCGCAGCCCTTTAAGCTCTGGGCCTCACTGGTTCCTAAATGGCTGAGAAAAAAGCTATTTGGAAGCCGATTACTCGGTCTCACCATAATTTAAACGGACCAGGGGTGAGGCCCACACAGCAGGTGGGCGTGGACTAAAGTTTTCAGTGCTGCGCTGCGGGCAAAGGGATAAACCCTCTAGCGAAAGCCTTAAAGGGATGCACGTATACTCATAGAATCTGGAGTTACAGTACGTAACCAACGATTTCCAGACTTCAGGAACTTTGTTTGTGATGAGGCTTAAATTAAAATAGAAGTTAAAGGCTCATCGATTATATCAGCTGCTAATGTTAGAAAAGTTTCCAAACCATCAGGACCAGCTGAGTTTTTGGAGTCCAATATTTGTAGTGCACCACGTACCTCAGAGACACATACCTGTGTAAAATGAAATAAAATAATCATCAAGTTTAGAGCTAATAGACACATTTTTTTCCACTGTTAGATCACTATTAGATGAATTAAATAAGTCCCCTGCTGCAATAAAATGTTCTTTAAAATAATTTAACATGGCACATTTATCAGTCATTCCTCCCAAAGTCCAAAAACATGCATGTTAGGCTGATTGGTAACTCTAAATTGTCCCTAGGTGTGAGTGAGAGAGTGAATGGTTGTTTGTCTCGTTTGTCTCTATGTGGCCCTGTGATGGACTTGCGACCCGTCCAGGGTGTACCCCGCCCCTCGCACAGTGATTGCTGGACATGGGCACCAGCGACCCCCTTGACCCAAAATGGAATAAACGGGTAAAGAAAATGGATGGATGGATGGATTTATCAGTCAGATTTAAAGAGTCTTTGACCAAGAAGTTTGACATTTCACTAGAAGGCAGACCACCAGAAACCGATCTCACAGTATTCCAAAACTTCTTTGGATCGTTTAGATTTTTGGTGGTTTCTGATAAATAAAATTCAGATGTGGACTTTTTAATTTTAGAGGTACTTTTATTTCAAAGTTGATAAAAGTTAATCCAGTCAGCCTCCAATTTAGTTTTTCTAGCCTTGGCCCATGCATGATCTCTGTGTGAGATTACTAATTGCAAAACCAACGGTTATTTTGCCCCTTTATCCTGAATTTAAGCAGAGGTGCATGTGGGGTGCACAAGGGGGGTGGGGGGTGACTCAGCCAATAAGTGCAGTCTATGTTTGTTTTTTAAAATCTGTTATGAACTATTGACTGAAAGTGTAGGTACAACATCTGTTTCATAAAGATATGTGACCAGGAAGAAGTTTCACTTGCTGTCACTTATGAAAGCCAGACATCCTCCATTTTCATTGAAGGAAAACAGATATTTTTCTGTTTTGAAGTGTTCTTTATTTCTTCTCACGTGCAGGTTGTTTTTGTCTCGTGGTGCTGATGTAACTAAGAGGAACAAGGAGGCAGACACAGCTCTGGAGCTCAGCATCTGCGGTTCGAAGGTGTGGATTGCCCTGAGCACCAACAAGAAGCTAACAGAAGCTAGGAGAGGACGGGACTGTCAAGGAGAAAGACTGCTCAGCAGGTACACTGCAACACGGCTTCCTGTGAGGACATGGGCCAGTTCAAGGTGCTAAAAAGCCACTGTGTCAGAACCTCCTTTTGTCCTAGCGTTCCTACAGTTTACAGTAAATGCAGTAAAACAGGATACCTGACATTCCCTTTTTTAATCTCCTCCAGTACAGTTGGGCATCGTTTGAATTTGAATGGTTCTGATTCTGATGCTTCGTTTCAATTCCGGTTCCTATCCTATCGATTCTCTATTCTGATTCTTTTAGAGGTGGGATTTAAGAAAAAAAAAAGGTTACATGGTATAAATGAGCTAGCTAGCCAGAGTTCTTTCTGGATTAAGTAATTTGAACTTCTATTTGCATTTTAATTCTATGGACTCCTTAAATTGTATTAGCTTTTCTATGAATTTCTCACAGGGCTATTTTCAACCAGTAAATAAATATCAAACCTATAAATTTCATTATAAACGTTATGAATGTTCTTTTTACAACAGAGCTAAATGTTTGAAAACCTCAAGGAAACACATTTCCACATGTCCAGTTTGTGATGCTGCAGCCATGTTACTGAGCTCCCACTGATAGGCTAACCTGCTGCAGAATCCATCCATCCATTATCTTTCACTTATTCCCAAGTCAGGTCTCGGGGGCAGCAGCTTGAGCAGGGAGGCCCAGACATCTCTTTCCACAGCCACCTCTTCCAGCTCTTCTGGGAGGACTCCAAGGTGTTCCCAGGCCAACCGAGAGACATAGTCTCTCCAGCGTGTCCTGGGTCTTCCCTGGGGTCTCCTCCCAGTTAAACATGCCTGAAGCACCTCCCTGGGGAGGCACCCAGGGGGCATCCTTACCAGATGCCCGAACCACCTAAACTGGCTCCTCTCGACGTGAAGGAGTAGCGGTTCTACTCCGAATCTCTCCCGGATAACTGAACTTCTCACCCTATCTCTAAGGGAGAGTCCAACTACCCTGCGGAGAAAACTAATTTCAACCTCCTGTATCCGCGATCTCATTCTTTCGGTCACTACTCAGAGCTCACGACCATAGGTGAAGGTAGGAACGTAGACCGACAGGTCATCGGAGAGCTTTGCCTTACAGCTCAGCTCTGTCTTCACCACAACGGACCAGTACAGAGTCTGCAATACTGCAGATGCTGCACCAATCCATCTGTCAATCTCACGCTCAATTCTTTCCTCACTCCTGAACAAAATCCCAAGATATTTGAATTCCTCCACTTGAGGCAGAACCTCACCCTCGACCTGAAGAGAGCAATCCACCCTTTTCCGGTTGAGGATCATGGCCTCAGATTTGGAAGTGTTGATTTTCATCCCAGTCGCTTCACACTCGGCTGTGAACCGCTCCAGTGAGAGCTGAAGATCACGGCACGATGACGCCAACAGGACCACATCATCTGCAAAGAGCAGAGATGGAGTCCTGAGGCCACCGAACTGGAAACCCTCTGCCAGCTGGCTGCACCGAGAAATTCTGTCCATAAAAGTTATGAACAAAATCTGTGACAACGGGCAGCCCTGGTGAAGTCCAACTCCCACCCTGAAGGGGTCCGATTTACTTCCGGCAATGTGAACCAAACTCTCGCCCCGCTTGTATAGGGACTGAACAGCCCATAACAACATGTCTCCAATCCCATTCTCACGGAGCACCCCCCACAGTGTACGTTGAGGAACATGGTTGAGTGCCTTCTCCAAGTCCACAAAACACATTTAGACTGGATGGGTAAACTCCCATGACCCCTCAAGGACCCTAGTGAGGGTAAAGAGCTGATCCAGTGTTCCACGGCCAGGACAGAACCCACATTGTTCCTCCTGGATCTGAGGTTCAACCTAACAATTGGACTCATTTCTCCAGTACCCCTGAATAGACCTTACCAGGGAGGTTAAGGAGAGTGATGCCCCTACAATTGGAGCACACCCTCCGGTCCCCCTTTTTGAAGAGAGGAATCACCACCCCAGTCTGCCAATCCAGTGGCACTGCCCCCAATGTCCATGCGACATTACAAAGGCGTGTCAGCCAAGACAGCCCCACAATGTCCAGAGCCTTAAGGAAATCAGGGTGAATCTCATCCACTCCCAGAGCCCTGCCACGTCTGAGCTTTTTAACTACCTCGGCGACCTCAGCCACGGTTATGGATGGATCAATCCCAAAGTCCCTCGATTCAGCTTCCTCCATGGACGACGTGCTAGTGGGATTTAGAAAGTCCGAGAAGTATTCCTTCCACCTACCGATTGCTGCAGAATATCAAACAAAAAAAAAGAAAAACTTGTGCAATCCAGTTCAGATTAGCAGCAGGTACAGTATAAATTCAGAAATTGTTCTTGTTGAGGAAAATGATCATATCTGCTTCTCAGGCAGTATGTGTGAGGGTTCTGGACAGACAGTGTCTCCTGCAGTGGAGAACACATGTTTGCTGGGTGTGGAAGAAGCTTGAATGCATAAATATGAGAATGCAAGATCTGACAGCAACGGATAAGTCTTGTGATGGTTCCACCAGCAACAGCAGGTCCTCAGACAGAACGGCTGGTGGAATTTCCTGGTACATCTGCAGCCCTGTCTCCACTTGTTTCTTCATGGACGTGGAGCTGTGACATTACGGTCTGTGCTAGAGGATGACACAGGAGTGGATTTTCACTCCTGTCCTGTCCTGGTCCCACATAAAAAATCCTGTCCTGTCCCAATCCTGGTCCAGAGTAAAAAAAATAATCCTGTCCTGTCCCACTCCTGGTAACATGACTCCTGCTCCTGTCCTGCTTCTGTTCAGAATCACTCCCACTCCTGTCCTGCTCCTGTTTTTCATTTAATTTTTAGGAACTGCATTGAATTTGATTTGATCTTCTACCCATTCCTGTTTAAATTACTTTGTGTTGTGCAATTGTATTACAAAAGATATGGCAACAGGAACAGTTCATCTGTGATGAAATAGAGACATTTATATCCTTAATCCAAACAAAAACCTTCACTAAATATCATAAAACAAATAATACATGGCCTGTAGTCCCTATAATTTTTCTACGGAGGAGCAGCTGCCGAGTCCCTGTTTCTAGCTCTTTTGAAGGTCAGTTACAGTAAAAACAAAAAATCAAAACCAGTACACGGGTCACACCATGTCTACCTTAGATGAAAGAATACAAACATAACAAGTTGTATTTTACTAATTTATTGAGCAATTGTTTCCTTTAAACAGTGACATTACTGTCATGTTTTAAATTGTTTAAATAAACAAACAAAAAAAGAAAAATAATGTACCAAGCAAGAGAACAAATAAAAATGTTTAAAGGTTTATACATTGGACGATGTCCTCAAGAAGTTCAGTCTATGTGGTTGAGGTACGAGCTCGTTTTGGTGATGCATGATGTCATGCATCTTACCAGACTTCAGAGCATCATTTACAGACTGGAGCATTGCAGGTCTGGTGTTCCACCTCGTCTCTCCACAGCTTGACCAGTCCAGAGCCTTGTGTAACCTAAAAGTGAAAGACGACAGTGCACGAGTCAAAATAGGGTTACAGTGACTACAAATTACAATCTGTTGGCCTTTCTTCTGGAAAAAAATATTTTATCAAAAACAAGAGATTTACAATTGAAATTAAGTCAAGAAAATGTGACATTTGCAATTATAAATTACAGAAGCTCAATTTTTATTTATTTATTTCACTTATCATATTTTATAATTATTTAAGCAGCCTCACCAGGCAGGCATTACAAGATTTTATGTATCTTACCTGCTCTTTTGAAGTGTGTGACAAGGGTCTTTGTGTCCAAAGCTGTTTAACAGCTTGCTTCCAGAGCTAATAGCTTCCTGTGTTAGGTAGAAAAATTAAATTAAATTAAAGACATGCTACTTCTTGTGCCATGCTTTATAAAACAGTTATTGAATAAAGTATTTACTTACGTAGGTAAACATAGATGTTTTAAAACCTGTTAAAATACACCAGAATGCAGGAAATAGCAGGTACTTTATTTAAAAAGTTATGGGGGAGGACCCACAGACCTCGCACCAATATGTCCCCCCTACAATAACAGTTATTATAATGTATATGTAACCAGCCTTTCATATAAAAACGGGGATATTGTTACCGGAGAATGCATGCACTTTAACCAGGAAGAGTTCGGGGGGGGGGGGGGGGGGGGTGTTACGTTACAAACAGCGACAGATAATGAAGATTTTAACCTAAAAACCCACATAACAAAGCAGGGCATAATTTTTTAATTAAAAGGGACAAGGTGGAGAAAAATGCGCTGTTTGAGTCTTTTCATTGACTGACGGTAAACAAAGTCTGACTCCCCACAGCTCCTCACAGCTGAGACTAAACGTTTAAAGCAGCACAGCACCAACACAACTCTTATGAAGTTCAGGGTTATTTGACACTTTCCTGCCTATTCTGTGAGTTTAATAGACAGACAGTTACTTCTTACCTTGCGTTGCAAACTATTTTCAGTTACTCAGTACCGCTTCGCTCGCTGCTCCTCCTACCTTCTCAGTGAAAAGCCACGGCTCGAACAGTTGACTCCTGGGAAATGTAGTCCTTTTGACTTGTGTTAAAGTGAAGGCTTACTGAAAGAAAATACAAAATAGCTGCACCCGTGTTTTTGTTTGTTTGTTTGTTTGTTTCATTTTAATTTTTGGTTATTGGTCTGTTCCTGCTCCTGTCTGCTCCTGTTAGCTTTCAGTCCGGTCACGTCCCGGTCACGTGAGTTATAATGAGGTTGACTCCGGTCCCGCCGGAATCCGGCCGGAATCACGTGACCGGCGGTATTCCCGAAAAAGTGTCATCTGCCTCTTCCTCAGCAAAAAGCTCCTCCAGTGGAGACTTTCTGGACAGATTGCAAGGAGGCGGTTCCTAGACGAAGGGTGCCCACACGTTTTCAACATGCGAGCTACTTTTAAAATGACCAAGTCCAAGTGATCTACCTACTATAAAAATATAAAACATATACTTGTTTATATTAATTTATATTAAGTATGCTTTATTTGTTTTATGTTCTTGTTTTTAATATTTTATATG